TAGTCGAGATTATCGGCCCCAACGCCACGATCAACGGAACCGATGGTCAGGTGATGTCTAATGTGTTTGAAGGGCTGACCACAGACCTGGATGTGCCCATCGATGCCGCCTTCGTCTGGACCTCCAAACGCATCGCTTATATTATTCAGGGTTTGACTCATGAGTTCAATTGAAAACCTAAGTTTGGGATCAATTTCAGTGATTGTCTTATCTTTAGGCTCCAAGTATTGGGCGTTTGAGTTGAGTGAGAGCTGGAGGAAAGGCAGCAAACAATTGGCCGACACTTACCCGCGAAGTATCGCCGACTTCGGCCTCAGCGTCGACCGGAAGATCACCACCGCTTTCAGCGACTCAACCAAAATCTACTTCGTGTCCACGGATTTGGTTCACGTGTTTCACGTGTCGGATATCGACTCAAAGGTTTGATCTCTTGTTTTGCAGACAATTATAACAAACCCTTAAAATATGATTACATTTGCTCTGAAGACTGGTCAGTAACTGCCTTCAGACACAGTCTTCTGGTAGTTTAACGCTCTGAAGGAGGCCACACTCCTTTACCCCCGGCCCTCAGTCATGAAGCCAACCAACTGCAGATAACCCTTTCGGCACAGGCTGAGCAAAGACGATAACGTGTTGGTATTCATAGCACTGGTGGCCGCTATCATGGGAATGGTATTACTGGCCCTCGTATTCATGCGTTTGGATGCCGTTCCCTATCTGAAGGACTCGAAGAGCTTTTCATTTCATTAATTCTTTTGTCAAAAACACTCATAAAAGTGATCAAAATTGTTATGCACTTGAATTGCAATTAGTTTTTAGTGTGAAATATTACAATTAAAATCTATTTCTATTGGATATTTGTATTTTGAATAAAGTGTTTTATTTGTATTAAACTAGTTTTATAATCTTATTTTTTAATCAACACATTAGTTTTTTTAAATTTATTTCCAAATGAAAGTAATATAAATAATATTTAAAATTATAGTATGGAAAAAACTTAACATTATTCAACATACTATGATCAAATCTACCTGCTGAAGGAAAATTAGTTCACACAATATCTTACTATTGCTAGTAATCAATAGGTCTTACTTTACTGTTAAGCCCAAGAAAAGGTGTTCATCAGATGATTGCATTATGAAACAAGTCCTCAAATCAGTGTATTTGTTGACAAATATTTGTGTATCACTTGTGAGTCCGGAATTTGATCGCATATTAAAAGAGTGGTCTTTCCGGCACCGGACGGACCCATGAGTGCCGTCAGTGTATGGAAATTGATTCGTCCGGAAAGGGACACCAGAATTGGTTTGCTTTGTCTGCCAAACAAATCCGTGCGAACTGTCCAGCCCAAATTGCACCAGGCTAGTGCTAATTTATTCTCACAATGATTACTATTGCTTGAATTCATGTTATACAAATAATGTACTGTATGCCACAATCACAATTCATAAATAAAAATATTTCTAAAATACTGCATAAGTTTATTATAACTTATTATACACTATAAACAAATATACAGAACTGTTGTCAGACCTCGTGTACAATTACATGAATAAACATATTTGCTAAAAATAGTCTTATAATTAATCTGTATTTAAAACACTGAATTATTTAATTACTATTTATTAGAACTTGTTATTAAGTTATTTAATTAATTAATAAAAATATAGATTATTGAAATCATTTTATTTATTTCCTATAAGAATAAATATTACTATAATAAGTTTAAATTAATTTATCAAAACCATTTTAAAATAAAACTACCAAAAATAAATTGTTCAAAATAGACAATTTAATCTGCTAAAACTTGTTATTAAATTATTTAATAAATTAATAAACGTGTAGATTAGTGAAATACTAATTTTATTTATTTCTTATAAGTATATTAATATCTTTAAAAAGATTATAAAAATATTGAAATAGTATTACGATTTATTTTAATATTAAATTTATAAAAATTCAAATTAAGTCTTATTAAATGCTTTACTTTGATTTATACATCAATGCTGACAAACCAACTAAACGCCATATAATTAAATGACCTGAAATTCATGAATTATAATATAATAATTATAAAATAATAAACACTACAATACTATATCATACAAACCTATCAACCAATAAATATTAATCCACAGAGTATCATCATCAAGATCCATTTGGTTCAAAACAAGACTCATTTGCGATTCATTACATCTGTCAAAGCCATAGGTTGTGATCATAATTGACTGAAATATTAATTTAACGGATGATATATAACTGAGTCCACGAATGACCACATCCTGAGTGGACAGTCGGACAGCAAATCCGCCCAAAAGAAAGAGTACGAGAAAAAAGGCAACGCCTATAGTAGTGGCCAATTGATAATTTTGGGCAAATATGATCCCGACTACATTGCCAAAACTGTTTGCAATAAACATACCGCACACCTGTCCCATAAATGAAATATTATTTATATGAAAAGTATTTTTAAAAATATTTACCGAAACAATAGTGAAGTATGAGTAGCGAAATGTTTGGGGTAACTGTCCCGTACAGAAGTACATAATCGTTGAATAAACCACTGAAATGACTACACAGACAGGGATTTCGACAAATAATTTGCTCCAATAGTAAGAACTCGTTGAATACCACCGGTTGTGGTGTTCGCTGAGGAATATACGGACTTCCGATGGGAACACCAGTATAGTGCAGGCCATGGATACAAACCCGAGACACGTGACCGTAAAGAATAATAGTTTGACGTTTTGAATGACATCCGACTCTTCGCTCATTATTTTCAACGCCTCCTCCAGTGATGTGGTCTT